CTCCTTCTAGATATTTGTTGCCACCTCTGGAATTTCGGGGGGTCAGTGTTTTAAGCCCTGTTCACAGATTTGTATTGTTTTTAGTTTTCTTGAGATCCATCATGCTTCGTTATCTTCAGCTTTATCATTTATAACAGTAAACGAAATGTATTTCAGAGACATTGCCGATAGCTAAAGCTTCAAATTGCACCTGTTTTCTCTATTTATTAGTACTGCGTGATGAAAACTTGGGACCAATCTGGGTAAAGTGTATCATATACGATTTACAAATGTGAAACTCTGTAATGTTATACCTTACTTCTTTCTTGTGTAGTTGTTAACATGTAATTTTGTGATGTGACCTACCAATTAAAAATGGGGTTAACGAACAATCATGCTCCAAAGTCCAGATAGACAGTGTACCAGAACAAGCACGGACTACTGAATTCATAAAAGATGGGATCAGATGCCACGGAGGATTTAATTTCTCCACCACATCCCCTCCCTCTGCATGTTCTTTATCATAATCAGTTAAACGGAGAAATCCTACTAGAGTCAATTCATAAAATTTAACTCGTAGCAATTTGAAAGGCGTCAATTAACTAGAAATACTTGCCTAACTACAGATTATATTTTCAAAGAAATTCATTGCATGAGCATAGAATATGCAAAATGTCAATTTAAAATGAGATTCTAGTTTCCATTGTACGAAATTCTTCACAGTCGTGAGCTTGCTTCTTTTAGAAATTGTTCATATGAAAAACATTTATTCATGGAATCAAATGGAAGACTTAAACTCTATATCCATGAGACAAGGGTATAAAACAACTTAGATATGGGAAGTGCCAAAAGAAATATTGAAAACTCCAAAACTATCATAGAGTTTATTGTTAGATTGTCACAAATGTCCCTGTAGTAAACATCTAAATATAAACGCTGCTAGGATAGGATATCTGTTAAATATCTCAGCACACAATCTGAAGTAACTTCTCTGATCTTCTTAGATACATTGTATGACGTCATAATACCATATGACGTCTAAACACTGCATACTTGAGCAGACATTACGGGGAGATTGTTATGACTTTTACGTTCCTTTCATGATTTATATTCAATTCAGGTGTCTTGATTGTTGTAATAAGGCTTTAACGTTCTGTTGTGAGAGTAAATGTTTCAATTTTATCGTGATTTCTTTCTCTTGTCTAATATGAAATGTATTTAAAAATGAAATATATGGAGATAACGAACAGTATTCAAGCTCAAAAGTCCATTAAACAATACAAATTAAATATGAGCAGAGCAAACACGGACCTTCAAACATCAGAGGTGGGATCAGGTGCCATGGAGGAGTGACAAAAAGTAGAATGTGAAGAACTTCCGTAACACCTCCCTGGATAGATAAAGATTCTATTAATCGTGCATCGACTGGATCAAGTCTTTAATTAGTTTAATTGAGGATATTCTGACTGAATCTATTAGAGAAGAATGTTCTCTTTTCAAATCTTCCTAGTGCAGTGTGTATTTAAGACTCCATCAGAAAAACACGATCAATTCTTTTCTGCTTTTAAGAATCTATCTGTTCTTAGTTTTTGACTATATAATTATGTTTACCTTCTGATCATCCTCAGAAATTCATTTTAATGTTAAACTTTAAATCAGATTTCATCACCATCCCAAAAATCCACATCTTTTCTTCTCAAAAAATCAATATTACAGCAATTGCAAACCGTTTCGCTTGTTCCACAACGTTAAACAACTTACCAATCACCTGTCCCGTTTTTATAACCACTAACCAATCACTTGTTCTTTACTCTTAAACAACTAACCAACCACCTGTCCCGTTATGTATAACGATTAACCAATCATTTTTTCCGTAATAAATAAAGGTTTTAACATTTATACTTGGTAACTGATAGATCAGTTTTAGATTCTTATGGAAACACAGTAGTTAATATTTAACACATTGTACAATACAGGGGTGTGCAATTAGCATCGTCCGACGCCCGGGGCTACCATTTTCGGGGGTCGGGCTAGTGGTTTTCTGCACGGAGGTAGCCCCTTGGGCTAGTAGAAATTAAAACTACACATGTAATGCATGAAAAGCACAACCGGTATTTTCACTCATTTTTTTGCTCTTAAATTCCCAACCAGTGAACATTTTCCAGGCTGCATGCTCCTATTGTCCATAAATCTCCATAATCTTATCCATTTTGCAGTACTACCTGACTTATTTACTTCAAAAAACGATCGTTTTTTTCCTAATCCGAATTTCCTCCATTCCTTTGTTTATGGTAAATACATGCAGATATCTCATTAAATTATTTACAATCACTCAATCAACTGAAAGATAAGTGTTATGCAATTAAAACAAAATATATTTCCAGTGTATTTAATGATTTAAGTATGTTAAGATGAAAACAAAATGATTTTTGCTTTGTTTTAGATGAGCTAGTGCAATGATCAGAAAAAGGGAAGATTTAAATTCTTTTTCATTTTCTATCATAATCATTAATTTATATATGATTAAATTTCACTAGTGAGAATTAAACTTTAATTTTAAAAAGAATTACCTTTAGATAGTACCCTGACTTTTTCAACAATTAACTTTTTTTCAATATTAGTTTTTAATTTTTGTCTCTATATTTGGGCTAGTAACTTTTTACTTGGGGCTAGTAACTTTATTGCTGCCACTAGCCCGTGGGCTAGTACTTGAATTTTTTAATTGCACACCCCTGCAATATGAGTCGTGTTTGTGTTATCTGTTTTATCGTCTTTACGCTGTGTCAATTTAAGCTAATGAGATTTCTTTGCAATATGAAGCAAAACTAAAATTTGATCATAAAAAGTCAAATAACGAACTTCTAGGAGAATACGACACACAATCATTGTGTATGTGCTCTACAATGTGTAAAAATGACTATGGTTTTTACGGATACAATCCTTCATTAAAGAAATGCCATGTCCACAAGAGGATTTTTACGTCTGGAATTTCTGATGAGACCGGATGGAGATACTATTCTTATAGTGGTATTTATTGCCGTTCTCTCTCTCTCTCTCTCTCTCTCTCTCTCTCTCTCTCTCTCTCTCTATTTAATTATACTTATGAATTCAGATTTATTTTTAAAATACAAAAGTATTTTTATTGCTTGTATACATAAATATATTTTATGTATATGATGTGAGAAACTCTTGTATTTATTATTATGTCAGTGAAATCTCTATTATTTTTATTATTAACATTATTATTATCTTATTTATTTATTTATTTGTCACATGTTTACTCCTTTTATACAGTGGATATAGCTCATAAGATATCGTTTTCATATCCACGGTAGTGACGTCAGTCACGTCACAGTGGTTTTTGCGTGAATTTGATCAAGTCAAATAATTATTATGGATTTATATACAGAAAACAGTGTAAGAAATGTAGTAACTATGTGTAAAACATGTGATAAAAAGAATCTCCCATGGTTTGTGGTTGGAAATGATTTTTTATCCAACTCGTCGCCAAGGCTCGGGGATAAAAACACACAACTGGGATAAAGAAAAAAACATATCCAATCACAAACCATGGCAGATCCTATATTTATTTTGCTATATATTTATTTTATTATCATAATGTGTCATTCACAAGTATAAGTACGGATTGTAAGGATCATTTTCTACAAGGACAAACACAATCTGGTGTATATACCACAAATCCCTTTGGAAACGAGAGCCAGGTCAGTGTGTTCTGCGATATGGTGACAGAAGGCGGAGGGTGGACGGTAAGATCTCTCTCTCTCTCTCTCTCTACTTTATGAATTAGGAAGTTTTTTTTTCAGTCAAATCGAATAGAAATTGTCATTGCATCCATGCATAGGGTCTGATAGAAAACACGAAAACAAGAAATGAAATAAATGGAGATAACGAACAGTATTCAAGCTCAAAAGTCCATTAATCAATACAAAATAGGAGCAGAGCAAACACGGACCTTTAAACATCAGAGGTGGGATCAGGTGCCATTGAGGAGTGAGCATCCCCTGCCGACCGGTCACGCCCGCCGTGTGCTCCTTGTCATGATCGGGAAATAACGGAAAAATCCGTCGACAATTCAGTGTGTAAATAATGGCCTAACAATTAGTGTGAAAAACGTCAGTAAGCATTTGATTCAATGATAAATTGTATTTGCTGACAAGGTCATTGTATCGACCATAGAACTTTAAACGAGACAGCTGATATTCTTGTTTTATCAACTTATTTGTCAATAATTTACCTCGTTTTAGAAATTGTACATACGTAGAGCATGCTCTTGCGTATCGAATCAACTGAGAGATATATACCCCGTATGCAGGTGATGAAGGTATATTGCTGCATAAGTAAGGGAAGTTGACGATTGAAAAGTTAAAGTCATCACGTTTATCATAAAGCTTGGTTGTTAGATTACCATTAACGTCTTTTTCAAGTAAAATATCCAAATATGAAACAGATGTGTCAGACTCTGTGGTATATTTTATCTCAAGTTCACAAGGATATATCGTATCGACATAAGAATGGAAATAGCCATTGTTAATTGACAATTCGTCGTCGATATATCTAAATGTCGAGTTGAAGGCCACAGCAAGTGTTTTCTTCTTTTCACGTACAAGATTTTGGACAAATTCTGCTTCATATGAATACAAAAAAGGTCTGCTAATAACGGGGCGCAATTGGTACCCATGAGAATTCCAATAGATTATTGGAAGACTTGGTCTCCAAAAACCACATAGATATTGTCAATCAGAAACTCAAGCATCTTTTTAATGTCAACTTCAGAGTACTTGTGTGAACAATCAGAATGTTTTTTAACAAAATAATTTTGCAAATGACCAATGACAAGGTAAGTATATTTACGAGTTCCATTTTTATTGAAAAAGCAGCTGTCAATGATATCAAAAAGCCTGGGTTCGTATGCATAAGCAATCTAAGGATTTTTCTTAAGTACTATGCTTATCCCCAAATCAATCTGCTTAACTTAGAAACTTACTTAAAGTTTGATGCATAAAAATTCTAAGTGCCTTACTTAGTGAATCTTAGCTAAGCATATTACTTCTTGCTTAAAATATAACGTCACAATAGTGTGACATCATAGCGGGTTTTGACGATACTGGATCTCCCGTTTTACATCACTCAAAGACATCATCATCGTCTGAATATGGCAGAAAAAAAAAACCGCAAACCGAACTGGACAATGGAAGAATGTTTACATCTCACGCGCTTATTCAATGATAATAAGAAAATTTTGAGGGCTAAATTCGGCGCCGGCGTGACCACTCAAAAGAGGAGAGAAATTTGGAAATCCATAACTGATAAAATTAATGCTGCCAACCCTTCAACAGCCCGAACTGTTGAAGAAGTTGAAAAGAAGTGGCATAACATTCATATGAAGGGACGGGGAGAAATATCTGACTTCGGAAGAAGTTTGCAGAAAACAGGTTCGTGAAATGTTGAACGTTATTTATGTCAGCCATGTTGTTTACTGTACCTAAGATACGAGTGATATAAGGGCGATAACTCTATTGAGACATAAACGGGGTAAAAGCACTACGCGTATTCTTACAGAAACCGAGGGATTCTAATTGATATTTTAAGAGACTCATATTGTGTTTAAGAAATGAATTTATCAACCACCAAAGTTATACTGTACAATAAGCCTTTTTGGATCGTTTTAATTCGACTGACGAATAATACGAAACGAGGGTATAAAAAAAATAAAGTTAGTCTCGAATAGGTCAAATTTCAGCATATCTCGGAAAGTTTACGGAATTTCGGAAGACCTCTGGTAATAATGTAGATTGTTTATATGTGAAATGTGAATATATATGAATAGAAGATAATTATAATTCTAAATCGTTTGATTTATGAGTATATTATTGGCCAGTGAAGGTACCCAATGCGAGAATATGCCGCTTTATTCCCCCCCCCCCCCCCGGCAAACACAGTTTTGTCAGTATAAAGTGTCAAAGTGACCTATACATATACAGAGTAGTTTATGCTTTACACACCGCGAAGACATTATTTTGTCACAAACTGTCAGAGATTCCAAACAAATATGCAAATTCCAAATTATGAATTTTTCAGTAAACGGAAAAAGAAAATGTTTTTTTACATTCACGGAACAATCAACTTGCAAAATAGGCTTACGTACCATATAATTAAATTATTGTATCAAAACCCAACTACATGTAAGAAACTTTTCAGCTTCATGCATGTATGTTCATAATGTATGACAAAATGTGTGATGATATAACATTCAACAAAAAGGGGGAGGGGCGGATCAAGAGAATAGAATGAGGTCGGCCTAAATTCCATCATTCCTGAAAAAGGAATTAGTTTCAGCCTACAACAAATTAGCAAGTCATGATGAAAATATTTTTTAAAATAATACAATTGCATCCGAGATATCTTTTTGATAAGATATATCACTTTTTAAATTATGCATGGATTTTTTTTAAAAATAACAAAAAAAAAAAAAAAAAAAAAAAAAAAAAAAAAAAAAAAAACTGAAATGAGTAAATTTACACAGGTGGGGGACCGGCAGAGAAACCTTTAAGTGCATTGTCACAAGCTGTTGAAGAGGTAATTGGAGAGGAAAATGTTTCCATCTGTGAAATATCTGGGGCTTTTGATTCCTCTTTGATGACGTTTAACACTTTCAACAGTGGTATGGAAGACATCCCATCTGGTTCTCTGCGAGGGTAAGGCTTTTTTAAGATTCAGTCAACTATATTACTGTTTTATCTCGATATCGCCTGTTCATAACTGATTTTTTTTAATGGTAAAGCGATCATTTGGAGGTCTTATTGAATTCTTAAAAAAAATAAATATTTTTAAACAGTCGAGTGGTGGAGGATTTTCAGCTTGATCCACAACTCCCAACATACACGAGTCAAACTATTATCCAAGAAGACGTGTCACTGGGTACATCGGGCTTCCAAATGCCGCCAACTTCTCCAAGAGAAACCACTACAGTTACATGCAACTTAGCCAGAGAGAAACTTCAACTTGAAATTGAAAACCTCCGTCTGAGGAATGCCCTTCTGAGACAACAATTGAAAGATTTCAATAAAAAAGATTTATAAAAAATTCATTTTAATGTTTACTGAAAATACAGTAATTTAGATTCGATAATGGAAATATTATAATAAATAAGTGTTAACTCTAGAAATGATTCATTGTGATATGGTTTCTGTATGCTCTACCACCCAAATTGTCAGGGACACGGTTGTTATCAGCATCATCATCATCACTGTCCTCATCAAAATCATCCTCACTTTCTCCATCCTCATCAATGATTGGTGTGTTGAGCAATTTTGCTAAATTATGAAGTACGGCGCAAGCCATTATAATCCTACAAGCCCTCTCTGGACACATCCTTATCTCAGAATGTAGTACGTGAAAACGTCTTTTCCATTGTCCTATGGTTCTCTTCACAATGCATCTTGTCACCTTGTGTGAACTGTGAATGAAAAATAAATAATGGATTAATGAAGCATGAAATAAGGAAAATAATGGGGGGGGGGGGGGGGAGGAGGAGGTTCTTATTGGAAAATGCATATCAAATTTTTTAATCAATAATTTTCTACGAAAATAGTGTTTTCACTTTTCAGTTTACTTTTTAGTTAATTAATTTTGTTGAATTCATTTATTCCTGAGTAAAAAGTAAAATTCAATATTGTCAGGGCCGTAGGAAACAATTTCAGGTTATCAGCGTAAATTAGAATTGAACAATATCAGTATCGTATACCTTTCCTCATCGTCAGAACCACTCAATATTGCATAGTACGCGCTTACTTAGTGGACATATGCCAGATTTACCATGGGTTTCCGAGAAAAGGTTTTCTTATGGTCTCGGGTTTTTAACACGACTTAACAACTTTGATAAAATTAAACGATTAATAAGAGAATACAGATCACCCCCCACCCCCACCCCCCAATCCGACGCATGTTTTCTATCATAGTAAAATAGTAATAGAATATTATATTAGGTAATGATTGATAGGAAACCTGTGTTGATAATAATGACTTAAAGTTATAGTTTCTGGACACATTTGTAATAAATAATTTCATATGGTATTGATAACTTTTTCTTTCAAGAATTATTCTTAAATCGCTTGTAATAAATGAGAAAATCAACGAGCGTGAAATTTATAAATCAACCTGAAATGTGCCGACATAGAAAACCGTGAAATTAAAAAAAAAACATGGAATAAAACAAGTTTACAGTATACATGTATGATTAAATGAACGCATATTTACCCATTGTATCTTCTTTCCTGTTGGGTTGCAGGGTTAAGGAATGGAGTCAGTAACCAGTTCTTACAAGGATAGCCACTGTCGCCGAGTAGGTGACATTTAACAGGAATTATTCCGGGTGTTTGAAATAATTGGCTTATGCCACTTTCTCGCAAAATTCTTGCGTCATGTGTTGATCCAGGCCACTTGGCGACTATGTCCAGTATATGGCAATGTGCATCGACGACAATTTGCACATTAATACTATGGTAGTTTTTGCGATTTACGAATTCTTCCTCATTAACTGTAGGACGCAGTATCCTAAAATGGGTCCCGTCGATAGCGCCAAGCACTCCCGGAAAATTGGCAATTGCGTGAAAGTCTGTTTGATGCCGGTGAATTATCTGAGCGTCAGTGGGAAATTTTATGTACCTTCGTATGATATGCGGTCGAGTTAAGGCTGTAGAAACCCTCTGTACAATTCTGGACACAGTTGATTGGTGAATTCCGAAGTCATCCCCGTTACATAACTGCATTTTTCCTGTTGCGAAATAGCGAAGAGCTATCATGACTTGTAAATTAGTTGGTATGCTACAATTTCGACTTGTTGCTGGTGAAACAAAATCGTCAATCAGCGTCCCGATATGTTCAATCCCTTGTCCGTCATAACGATAGCGTGTGATAAGCCCTACACCATTATATTCTGTAAAGGGATCCAATCTCTGCTTAAAAACGCGGCGTTGTCTTTGCTGTCCGGCAGCCATTTTGCTATGGTAAGCAAAATGCTTAAACACTTAAGACAAGGTGGGGTGTTGTTTAACTTTAAGCATATTCTAAGACATATAAGTAAGAATAAGACGCATCATGCAATCCACTTACAACGCCAAGTGACGTGCTAAGTAAAAAACGTCACTCTACTTAGCGTAAATCGACACTTAAGAATATGCTTAGCAGAATAAGAATTTTTATGCATACGAACCCTGGACTTTAATTTATCGTGGGGAATGGTTGTGTACAAAGTTGAAAAGTCGTAAGTTTTTAAGCTGTTGATTTTGGTAAAATCTTGTGATTTCAAATTTTCCAAAAGTTTCTTGGAATTTTTAAGTATTTACATCTGATTTACACCGCTTCTCGAATATATTGTTGCACAGTACTCTTGAAGTTTCTCCTTCACCACTGTTAATATCTTAGTGAGGAGTAAAGAAAGAGGCTTGGTTGAACATTTACTGGAACCCGCTATGTATCTTTGTTTGTAAGGATTTTTATGAAGTTTCGGAATCCAATCTAAATATGGTAATTGAAATTCAATTTTGGTTGTTTGGAATATTAAAAATATTCAAAACTGACATATGATTTTGAAGAATTTCTTCCTTAGAAAGGGAACTATGAGTATAAGTTGGTTACCACTTATAGAATTAAATCCAAGTTCCTTTAAAATACATTTAATATAATGAGCCTTACAAACAAAGACAATGTTGTTACCTGCTTTGTCAGCAGGGACCAGTACGTACTGATCATGTAATCTATCTAATTCTTTTTTCACTTCTGGATTATTGAATACAGAAGGATAGATGGTTTTCATATTGCCTCTCAATCTTTTAATGCGCGATTTTAACATACATCTGATACATTTAATCCATTCTGACAAAGTGTAAAGGTCTTCCTCTACAGAATCCATAATATTTATGAAATTCCGACGCCAGTTGAAGGATCTGGGTTCCCTAAATTTAGGACCTTTGAAAATTAGTGATCTAAGGTCCTCATTATTAACTATATTTACGTCACCAGTAATAACGTGTCCAGCAGGACTATAGTTATAGGGCGAAGAAGAACATGAACACGATGGAGAATTATGCTTCAGATATTCGATATCCAGGCCCTGTAAAGTTTTCTTGTAATTAAAAAGTTTGGAAGCAATAGAAGCAAAGAAAACAATTGCAAATACCTTCATAATTTCTTTTTATTCTGTTGATAACCAACAGGCAATCCAGAAACGGGTGAGCAGAGCAGTAACATTTAATACCACATGGAGTGAGTACAAGGATGGATTTGGGGATCATAGCGACTCTTACTGGATTGGTAAGTAATTATTTACATTGTTTAGTATCTATGGCAGTGTCAACATTTTCTAAAATTTTAAGGTATTGCAATTTTATCTCATAATTAAACTTCTTTCAAATGATATCTTGATAATTTACGAACTATTCACAGTATCACAATTTATGGTATATATCAAGGTATTTTATCCTCTAAGAATCAATACTCTAACATATTGATAACTCTATTATAACTTATCTGTGTAAATGTTTCGGTTCTATAACACTACAAATTCAACACTCCTTAAAAAAACATATATTTACCTATTGAATGCCTAATATACACCTACAATCTCATATATTTACCTAATGAATGCCTAATATACACCTACAGTCTCATATATTTACCTAATGAATGCCTAATATACACCTACAATCTCATATATTGACTTTATTTATACTTGATACACCCTTACAATTACGTTTTGAAGGAAATGACTTGATTCATCAGCTTACCAAGGGAAATGACTCATCCCTCTACGTCTCTATCACATTACAAAATGGCAATATTTTGTATGAACATTATCATCAGTTTTCTGTTTCTGGTGAATCAGACAAATACAAACTCTTTCTTGGAGGACCAGCTACCGGAACCTTGGGTAAGTAATAGGTAAAATGTGTGACTATGTGAGAAAAACTTAGAAGAGAGAGAGGGGGAAGAGAAATAGTTAAAATGAGACAACAAAGAAGGTAAGAGAAGGTTTTCCATTTCTGACGAGACAGACAACTACCTAAAGTAGGTATTAGGTAGTTTTTATGCCTATAAGAGCAAAGAATAAAAAAAGAGAAAGCTGGAGAAGGAGGAAGACATGTTAAATGTTTAATACAACTTGGACAATTTTAATTCAATGTCAGCTCTCCCGCCAAAAAAAATATATATATAACCCCTGTGTTTGATTCTTAAAGTGGTTTTTTGTTCCCCTCAATTTATAACAATATAAAAAATATTATATAGGCCAAAGTATTTCAAAGGTTCAGATTTTTGTATATGTGCATGCTTTCACCTGCGTAGCCACAAAATTTATATAAATTGATATAAATAGTGACTCAAACCGAGCAAACCGATTATTGTTTTGAAAAAAAAGTTCAATAATTGATAGATTTCATAATTACACTATCGTTTTTCTGTACATGATTTACTGATATTGCATGATGTTCTCCGGCTTTTTTATGTCATGTTCTTAACCACATCATTCTCTTAACGTTTTTTGAGTCGCCCGCGTGGCGCAGTGGTTATAGAGCGTCTGCTTTTACCCTAGGTCGCGGGTTTGAATCCACTGCGGTCCTTCGGATGAGACCGTGTAAACCTGGATCCCAGTAGGTGTTGGCTCGAAAAAGATCCCTCACTGCTCAATGGCCCTGAGTGGCAAGTATAGGTATATATTTGCAGCCCTCCACTGGCAAGTGGTGGCGTCTCCATGAAAAAAAATTTTCGAGAGGGACGTTTAACAACAGACAAACAAACAAACAATTTTCAAACCAATTTTGACTCATCAATTTAATTTCAAGACATGGATAATGGCTATGTAGCTATATCAGACATATATACACAGAAGACACTTTGATTCACGACCAATACGGAATATCCTGCCCATCAAAGTAAACTACCCTGAAATGTATATGATAGCCTGTATATGAAAACTAAGTGTTTCACGGAGCTTTAATGAAGAGCGACTGCTGAAAAGTGGTAAAAACCAGGTAGATTTAAGAAAAAATATTATACCGTATAATGATAAACCCTTGATCATAAACTCAGGAAGGGTGAGAGAAAAATTTATCTCATGAAAACACTTGGCAGGGACACACGTTACAAAGTATACAACACTGAAATTGATGTATTTTTGTTGTTTACGTCATCCCAAAGTAAACAGTTGACGTCCTAACCAATATAGTGGCATATTGTCTTGAAAAGGTTAACAAAGAGATATTTAAAAACTAAGAATACATCACATTTAATAACAATAATCTACATGATACTTGATATCATTTCGAAGTTGATATTGAAAGCCTGTTTATCTATGTATAATTCATATTAATAATTAAAAAACTTGAACTGAATTAAATTTCCCGGATATTTTTCTTTAATTATACAGGTGACAGTATGTTAAACACTGAGTTTCAAGGCAAGGATCTGTCAGGGATGTACTTCAGTACACCAGACAGGGACCACGATAGATGGGGTAAGGATAGCTGTGCTGCTTATCGTGGAGGAGGCTGGTGGTTTAACAACTGTCACTGGGCCTTCCTTAACGGTCCCTGGTCCCCGGCATACTGGCACAATCTTTGGTATCCAACCTTCAGAAATGGAAACTCTGTAACAGAGACCAGAATGTTGATCAAGCGTCACTATTTAAACATCTGTCATTCTTCACATACATTGTTTATTCTTTGAAAATTTTATGTTTATTTAGTTTAATAATCTGAAGTCGCGGGTATGTTGATGGTACAGTTTTGTGATTTATGTTTATTTTTGAATTTGTTTATTCTCTACAGATGCTGATTAACAAAGAAATGATATAGATGGATGATTCATTTGAATGTTAGTTAAACAACCAAACAGAAGAAGCAATGTTAATTAAAGAGACATGCTATTTTTAATAATATTTGTATTCCATTAATTATGTATTTACATAAATGTTTCTAAATACAATGGTCAAACTTGACAATGATATTTTTTAAAGAGGGTGGGTAGATAGGTGTTGGTTAATACTGAATTTTTTAGATATATTTATTGAGATAGGCTTACTTGTGAATAGTTATCTTTTTTAGGGTTCCTTTGAAACAATAATTTTATTTTCTATTCTAGATGTAGTCTTCAAAAGTACAAATTCAATAAAAATTAGAATTAGAAAAACTGTGTTCTTATTTACAAATTCTGAGCGGATGGGTAAAATGAAAATTGATGAATTGTTAACTTTATCGAAAAGTTTTTTAGGTTAAATTTTAGTCATTATTTTTTAATTTGATGTCTTTCACTCGACTCAATCAGTGATACTTGTAGAAGTCTGACATGCTTTTAGATGTGTTAGTGACTTCAGAGCCGAGCCCTGACAAGCAGTCAAATTTTACCATTTATGCATGATTCTCTATTCTGCCTCTGATAAAAATTCTGTGATATCACTGATCAAGAAGAATACTTATAAAACCCTGCATGTCGTTGCATACTGACAAAATATTGTCCGAATTACGAGTGACCTACTGACCAGATATATATTATTATGTCGTTACACTTCGCCTCGCAAAAAGTCTAATTGACGTGAAATGAGCAAGAAATGAGCAATAGAGGACATCAGAATATAAAGAATCGCCAAGGAACAAAATTGTGTCGTTCAAATAAAATGAGTTTATGAAAAAGAATCTTCCTCCCGATAATTTCCTCATACTGACAGTTAGAGGGAATGTGTGAGAATACATTATTGTGTCCATACGGATAGCCCACTATGCTATTTTAAAAGGACTACATATATATTTCCGAATTCCGAATAAATGCTTAAGCAATTTAATTACTTACTTATCTACACCGAATATGCTTTAATTTCATTGGTCGCATCGACTACTGAAATAATGAGGTAATCAATCTCAAGAGTTCAATTGAAAAAATGAGCTTTATGAGCAGATCAAATATACAGTTAAAAAGAGATTGCTAATACTAATGTATCATTAAATATGACGATAACGAACAGGAAAAAATCTCGAAAGTCAGTTTATTTGTAAATAGCTAGCTTCGTTTTTGGAAGATGAGAGTAAAATGTTCATCATTTTAGGAAATCTTAGTCCCAGACATCACAACATGAGTTTCCAGTCCATATCTATCACAACAGGATTTCTCAGTCTCCACTCATCATAACAGGGTTTCCCAGTATCCACACATCACAAAAGGTTTTTCAAGTCTCTACACATCATAACTGAGTTCTGAGTTTCATATTTAAAAGGGAGTTTTTCGTCATTTCAGTGTCAAATGAGTACCATGTATAACAGAAACATTACTGGTAGCCTTAACAGCTTATTGGTCCAAAACAATGTATGACAAAACTTTGTGCTTAACTCATTATATACTGTAAAAAAGTAAGATCTACCAAGGCAAGGTGAAGATAACGAACAGTGATCTATCTCAAAAAATCTACAAACAGAAAAAAAATGTGAGCAAGGCATAAAACACTGGAAATTCCAGAGGTGAGATCAGGTGCCTAAGAGGAGTAAGCCTCCGCTGTTCACAGGTCATTCCGCCATGAACCTTATGTACTGATCAGCTAGATGGAACATTCTGTATCAAATTTTGTATAAATACAAAGGCATACCAATTGGTTTGAAACGCGTCGGTCAACATTAGACCCTATGATAGGTAATATTTACTAACAAGGTCATTATAACGACCATAGAATTAAAGATATGATGAATTTAAAAAAGGATCGTGAAATCCCTATAACATCAACTTAATGCTCATTATATTAAATGTAATATAGAGGAACTTGGATTTAATTCTACAAGTGGTAATCCAACTTATACTCATAGTTCTCTCTCTAAGGGAGAAATTCTTCAAAATTATATGTCAGTTTTAAATATTTTTAATATTCCAAACAACCAAAATGAATTTCAATTACCATATCTATATTGCATTCCAAAATTTCATAAAAATCCGTACAAACGAAGATACATAGCGGGTTCCAGTAAATTTTCTACCAAGCCTCTTTCTTTACTCCTCACTAAGATATTAACAGTAGTGAAGGGGAAACTTCAAGAGTACTGTGCAACAGTATACGCAGGGGTAATAAGGAAGCATACAAAATATTCTACCTTGACTTAATCAGTGCTACATTATGACGTCATAGTAGGCGAGATGACGTCAATTTTAGAATACAAGTTTTCGTAATATTCATATTTAGAGATGTAATTTAACTCTAGAAAATGAATAGAAACGTGTAAACATTAACAAAAATAAAATGTTTTTATTTTGTTATGCTGTATTTGTCATTTTGATTAAAATCTACCACCGATGACGTCATATGTGTACTTCAAGTAACTTGGGAATTGATCATGTCGTGTAAAGAGAATTTGGCTAAGACGGCATGTACAAAGATACGTAAAATGGAGTTTAAAAGTAAATATCCTGAATATTTTGTGAAATTCATATGGAGTTCAGTTACTAAAACAGGTATGCTAATTTATTTTCATCGATTGTATTCTCTTCGAAGACAGTCAGCTATATACGTATCCCGGTCGGCCTTTCCTCTGTCATTTGTGACAAAAATAATGCAGCAGAACAACAATAAGCTGTATATTTCAAAACATAAGATTTGTACAGATGGAAATTTGCCTCCTAAAATACTTGGAAAGTGCTGCTAGAATCCCGAGTTAAGCATGGTTTTACGAAAAATCTCGGTTTATATGTATAAAATTCAAAACATATGGTAAAGTTTCGTGCGAATGTGTGGAATTATTATTTTACTGACGGGACAGTGGGATTCTAGCAGCACTTTTTAGGCAAAATAGATGTTTTCCAACTATATTATTTACTCAAGGAAATTATTACACTTCGGGGTATTGTTGTTCTGTTAGCTTTTTTACTAAGGAAAATTTCGCTATTAATAGAAGTCACGTGATGCCGTGGTGGTGGTGCACGTATTTGCGTTAGACACTTTTTTATCTTTATGCAATAGATAATAATAGTTTACATTTATCAGCGGTTTTGGTAAATTATCAAACTTAATTTTCTTTAAAAAGTCTAAATTTCCAGAGAATTGACTTATATGCTTCCTTAACATACCCGCGTATTCGAGAAGTGGTGTAAATCAGATGTGGATACTTAAAAAAATCCAAGGAACTTTTGAAACATTTGAAATCCCAAGATTTTACCAAAATCAACAGTTTAAAAACTTACGACTTTTTCAACTTTATACACAACCATTCCCCACGATAAATTAAAATTCAGGATATTTTTTATATCATTGACAGCTGCTTTTTCAATAAAAATGGAACTCGTAAATTTACTTACCTTGTCATTGGTTATTTGCAAAATTATTTTGTTAAAAACATTCTGAGTACCAATTGCGCCCCGTTATTAGCAGACCGTTTTTTGTATTCATATGAAGCAGAATTTGTCCAAAATCTTATACGTGATAAGAAGAAAACACTTGCTGTGGCCTTTAACTCGACATTTAGATATAACGACGTATTGTCAATTAACAATTGTTATTTTCATTCTTATGTCGATACGATATATCCCGGTGAGCTTGAGATAAAAGGTACTACAGAGTCTGACACATCTGTTTCATATTTGGATATTTTACTTGTAAAAGACGTTAATGGTAATCTAACAACCAAGCTATATGATAAACGTGATAAACTTTTCAATCATCGACTTCCCTTACTTATGCAGCAATATACCTTCATCACCCGTCGCGGATTCGATTCCCACTGTGGGACGTGCAGACCGGTCCTTGGGATGAGACCGTATAAACCGAGGTCCCGTGTCGCAGTTAGGTGCTGGCGCGAAAAAGATTCCTTCTTGCTCAATGGCCGTAAGTGCCGAGTATAGGACAAAATTTGCAGCTCTCCTCCGGCAAGTGGTGGCGTCTCCATATGAGTGAAAAATTCTCGAGAGGGACGTTAAACAAAATACAAACAAACAAACAAAACCTTCATCACCTGCATACGGGGTTTATATCTCTCAGTTGATTCGATACGCAAGAGCATGCTCTACGTATACACAATTTCTAAAACGAGGTAAATTATTGACAAACAAGTTGATGAAACAAGAATGTCAACAGTCCTGGTTAAAGTCATCATTTCGTAAGTTCTATGGTGAATACAAGGACCTTGTCAGCAAATATAATTTATCATTAAGTCAAATGCTGACTGACGTTTTTCATACTTATTGTTAGGCCATTATTTACACACTGAATTGTCGACGGATTTTCCCGTTATTTCCCGATCATGACAAGGAGCACACGGCGGGTGCGACCGGTCGGCAGGGGATGCTCACTCCTCCATGGCACCTGATCCCACCTCTGATGTTTTGGAGGTACGTGTATGCTCTGCTCCTATTTTGTATTGTTTAATGGACTTTTGAGCTTGAATACTGTTCGTTATCTCCATATATTTCAATACAATCAATATTTTGCTAATATTTGATTCTTGTCTATTTCATTAAGACATCATTATATTGCCTTTTTAAATCCAATATTTATGAAAACTAATTGCTTATGTGGATGTGTTACATATGTAGAGAAATGGATACTCAGATCGGATGTTTTCCATTCTTTTTAACTGAGTTTTGAAGAGGAGGCTTCATGATTTAAGTAGTTTTGACATTACAGAGAATTTTTCAAACTCCACAAAATTAGTTTTACAATACATTCTTCCCATAAACATTGGTGTTATTCCTGTCATTACCCATTTTATAGATATATTGTTATTCTGAAAAGCAGCCTTAAAAACGGACTAATTTTTAACCATCTTTAAGCATTTTAATACTGATACTTATGTTAGAGAAAGACATTGTCATTATCTTTTATTTCCATGATATAAAATTACAATTGAAATAGAAAAAAAACTTTGCATTTTTTTTAATTCTGTTTATGAGTTGTTTATTTTATGACACCAGGCAACTTGAACAGTGTGACACCTGTGCCTCATGTGACATCCGTTTTGAGGAAACAAACAATCTAAGGTACATGTTGTACGGCGTGGAAATAAATACACAGTAAAACAGCTTAAGCCAGTATGATTTTTTTTTACATTCTAACTCAAATTAAATACTTTAAGAATTTAACAAAGCCCAATTATAAAAATAGTCCTTTTTTATCTTTCTAATTATTATATCTTAACTACACTGTATGACCCTATACAAAACCAACAAGTGCTTTGGAAAAGAAATCATATGTTATATTCTTATCGTGTTATGATTATTCATCTTCAGTTAAACATTTAGTTCTACATCACATTTCTGTCATTCATGCTGAGGCGTGGTCCAATCATTTTTGTCAACAAAATCGATATTTAAGCGGGAGAAATATTCAGAAAATAATGACTATCCAATAACCTTTCTTGATAGATTAAACATCGGTTATTTAGACCAGATTCATTTGCAAATTGGTATAGGAACGTAGTCGTTATTGGTAAAGATACAGTGCAATATGACCAGTCTCTGTGTTATCTGTTTCGTTGTTGTATTCCTAAGGATGTCTGAAGCTACCAATGTTTCAAGGAATTATAACGCCAAACCGGAATTTGATAATAAGAAGTCAGATGACGAACTTTTAGGAAAATACGATGCTCTCTCGTTATGTGAGTGTACTGCTATGTGTCAAAGTGACTGTGGATTCTATGGGTACAATTCTAAGCTAAAGAAGTGTCGTGTTCACAAGATCTTTACTTCCGCTTCCGGAATGTCTGACGAGGCCGGATGGAGATATTATTCTCGTTGTATGCATAACCTCTCTCTCTCTCTCTCTCTCTCTCTCTCTCTCTCTCTCTCTCTCTCTCTCTTCTACATACAAATACACACTCATGCATACAAACACACGCACATTATATAGCGAACATTCCTTTTGATTACACTTTAAGCATATATATTGAAGTGATTTATCAATATTTATTTCCATAAATATTTTCCAGAATAACCTCAAAAAATTCATGTAATAGAAAATATTTTAATATTTTTTCTATTGTCATGAATAATGAAATGTTCTGTTAAATTATTTTTTTGTGCTTTAATATACGCTTAACGAGGCAAAGTCTAATTTTTTCTACCCTAGATATTTTGTTAATTTTTTTTGTATGAATTTTTACTGAGATATTAAGGAGGCAACAAAGAGTCAACAAATTAACCATCAGATATAACTTAATTTTTTAGATATGATATCTTAAGCTGTCAACTATCATTTGGCAAACAAAAATTTCATACATTCTAGTTTTAAAATTTGATCATTTTTGTATATCTTTATATGGAGCTCTTCTTCTAAAGGAGATCAATATAGTCTGAAAATGGCCACAACCACCCAGCCCTCTTAATTGTTTAAAGATTAAGATTATATAAATGAATGTTTACCATCCCGATTTCTTAGGGGCGTCTCAAGAATTGTCCACTTTTACGACTGGACCCTGTGGGAATTTGTTAGAAAAGCACCAAATTATCATATTTTTTCCATATTATTGTACTTTTGCCCTACCGATTTCTTTTTCTGTCAAATATATGAAAGATATTGTAAAAAGTCACCAAATTGAGAAATTTGAAAAAATGCCATCTGGGTTAGTTTATTGCAATTTTTGGTTTAATGCCTAAAGCCTCTAAATTTGCCATATCGAGCTACATATATCGGCGCAGATTAATTATTTTGATAAAATATAACAATGTTTCTTTGGATGTTCTGTCAACAGTATTTATAAAATATCAATGGACGTCTTGAATACACTAACAAATCATGCGGTTTTCTTCAGCGTCATGCATTGCTGACAAAACTGGAAAAAATCTTTGGAGCCATTTCTGCTTTTATTCCCTAATTATTGTCTCAAAAGCATATTTTCATACCCATAGACGCTAGTGAGAATGTTAATTTGGCATTAAAATCACAAAATTTAGGAAAAGTGTCAAGTCGCACCTATACAACTGCATGAAAATGAAAAGCTGCGCACATTCATGAGCACTTAAATTATGCCCGGTCTTGTTAATAGTTACTTTTATTTTAAGGAAAACTTAAGGTTAAACTATAATGATTATATTTACATAAAGTACATATTGTCAAAAGGTGTAGGTACCGCAATTTTTTTTACACACATTTGAAATGTGTGGAAAATATAGCAATTAGAAAAATGCAAAATATTTGGTCGTAATTAACTTGAAATAGAAATAAAATTGTGTATTTTTTCCAATTCCCTAAAAGAAATGTTCATTAGTCCGTAAAATCATATGATCCGGAGATCAATGCTGTCTTCATTAAATCAACAGAAAATTAAAGGTAATTGAAAAAAGTCTGTCACATAGTTTTCCTCCTAATTTCGTTATACAGCATTTTCAGCAATTAAACCTGATTACAATGTATATCTTTCCTTAGAAAAATTAAAATGGACAGGTCTTTTAAAGTCAGTAATGTCAAAACTTAAAACTTTTTCTAGATTGTATAGAATCATCCCTCATGATAAATTAAAAACAAGGTTATTTGATGTTAGAGACAACTGCTTCTTCAATAAAAATGGAAGTCTTGGTCGTATTTGGCTGACGTGTTTCATACCAATTACTAGGCTTTTGTTTTTTATACTGAAATTGACATATATACTAATCTATTTACCTGATCAATACGTAGGGCCCACGGCGGTTATGACGTGTCATCCGGGGATGATTACTTCTCCTAGGCAAGATCCTACTTAAGTAATTTCAAGGGATCCATGTTTTATGTCTTGTTCAAAGATTTGTATATTTTACAGAATTTTTTTTTTTTAGATCTATTGCTCTTTGTTGTCTTCAGCTTTCTCAATATTACCTCCGTAATTATCTGGGTTAGTGGATTTTAAACCTTTTATACAAAATGGTCCATATGCATTAAAATGCACCTTAAAGTTGAACATTTTTTTTCTCTCCTTCAGGTATTCTTACAGATTGTAATAGATTTCTTGAAAATGCTTAAACAAATTCAGGCCTAGGTGTGTACGAACTTTCTCCCTATGAGTCAGCTGTCTTCTTTTTCTGTTCCAGCTCTCCCTATAGATTGTAAGGAAATTCGTGAAAATGGTCACATTAAATCAGATGTTTACGAAATTTCTCCCTTTGGGACCAGTCCTGTCACAGCGTACTGTGATATGGAGACTGTGGACGGAGGATGGACGGTATATAATATACTTTAAGATTAGGGTACATTATATAATCTGCACTAAGTGTCTTTGGTGTTCAAATGATTGTACTTGAAAAAGTAGTCAATATTGCAAACGGATCATACGCATGTTATAAACAATGATGATTGAATAAGTAAACATGTTTATCTTTAAAGGCAATTCAGAAACGGGTAAACGGCTCCGAGAGCTTTGACAGGAATTGGTCGGAATATAAAAATGGTTTTGGTGCAGCGGAACATAGTTACTGGATTGGTAGGTGTAATTCCAATTCAAACAATCTGTAAAAAAATTACTTTGCTGTGACACATCAAAATCTTTAAACATATCAAGGAGAATATATTATTCAAAGCCTTTTTTGAGATAGATCACTGCTCGTTATTTTCACCATATATGCCCCCGTAATCGAAGATTCGTGGTCATGTAACTTTTGCTCTGTCCGCCTGTTTCTCCGTCTTTCTGTTGTCTGATTATCTGTATGTCTGTTTGTCCGCAAAAACCTTAACCTTGTACATAATCTTTGATTAGTTGGAGCTATTCCTTGTGAAAAAGACATTTTCTTGGGCACAAACATTTTTGACCTCTTGACAGTGACCTTATAGTTTAACACAATTTTAGAAAATTTTACCAACTTTAAACCTCGACCATAAATTTTGAACGGTTAAAGCAAAGAATTTCATGCTTCTTGTGACAAAACAAGATTCCAAAAATTTGACCTTTGAAATTGACCTTATGATTTTGACCTACTTTTGAAAATAAATTTTGGCCATATATTTGAATGGTTGAATCGATTCTATGGCTTTAATATTTCACGTCTACATGTATATGCCTTGTGACAAGACCTTCCTTTGGCACCATTAATTTTGACATTTTGACCTGAAATTGGAGTTTGACATACATTTGAAAAACTTTATCTTTTGCTATTCATATTAAACAGTTAGTGCTTGGCCTATTATATTTCACAGGTGTATTTATTGTCGAAAGACCTTTCTTTGGTACCAACAATTTTGTTTTCTTGACCTCGGAGTTTGACATGCAAATGAGAAACTTTTACCTTCGACATTAGCTGACATACGGGGGCTTCAATGTGTCACAAACAGGACTTGTTCATTTAAGACCGAGTAATGTTTGCTCGACTATATTCACTTACTGTGTTTAATTGAGTTCAAAAATAAAATAAACTGAAATAAAAAATGAAAAGGGAGAAAAAAATCACTTAGTGACATGGTCTTTCAAAGTGACACATATAACATACGTGTCTATTGCTTAGTAAAAAAAAAAGGTTCTTCATCAAGGTATATTTTTATTAAAAATAGAATTAATTGTACATGTATTGCAATGAACTTTTCAGTTGATTTCAAATATATCTTTTCGTAGGAAATGACGTAATCCATCATTTAACAAAAGAAAACAACTCATCCCTGTATGTTTCCATCACTCTCCAGAATGGTAGAACATTGTATGAAATGTACGATCGATTCTCTGTCTCCAACGAAACAGGGAAATATCAACTCTTTCTTGCAGGACCTGCTACGGGAACCTTAGGTGCGTTATATGAGACGGAGAGAGAAGAAAGAGAGAGAAAAGGAGAAAAAAAGATGATTCAAAACTAAAATATATTTGTTGATATATGTAATAATATCAAAACCCACTAATATGTCATTTTGTTTAATCCATCAAGAGTACATTTTACAACACACGTGCAAAATTTAATTAGGTAATTCAATAAGGTAATTCACAGCTTACTTAGCAAATTCGATGGTCGATACAATGATTGAGTGCAAAAGCATTGTACCCCTTGGTGGAACAATTTTCATGCAGATTGTTAGGTCATTATTTGATACTGAATTTTCTACGGAATGTCTTCTCAGTCATGATAATAAGCTCTTGGCAGATGAGTCAACAGGAGATGCTTATTCCGCTCGCCATGACACCCTAACTCTTCTTGTCTTTACAGAAGTGACGGGTCAATAGGGATGCTTACTCCCACAAGACACCCTAACACTTCTTGTCTTTTCAGATGTGACGGGTCAATAGGGGATGCTTACTCCCCCATGACACCTGAACACTTTTTGTCTTTTCAAATGTGACGGGTCAACAGGGGATGCTTACTACCCCAAGACACGCTAACACTTCTTGTCTTTTCAGAAGTGATGGATCAATAGGGGATGCTTACTACCCCAAGACACCCTAACATTTCTTGTCTTTTCAGATGTGACAGGTCAATAGGAGATTATTACTCCCCCATGACACTCTAACACTTCTTGTCTTTTCAGATGTGACGGGTCAACAGGGGATGCTTACTCCCCCAAGACCCTGAACACTTCCTGTCTTTACAGCGACTGTGTGTTCTCTGTTCGCATTTTGTAATGTTTAATGTGACTTTTTAAAATGATTACTGATCGTTATTTTTTTTCCATTCCAGAGCACCTGATAGATTTTATTAGTATTTGTATTCAAGCTAAGGTCTTCAGATTGGATTCAAACAAGTATACAATCATATACTTCTCTGCATAGAAAGGCCACTATGTTGTTGAATAAACGACAAAGATGCATTTTTTCTAATATACTGTAAACGTCTTTAATTCAACGTTTTAAATATTTCACGACATTATTTGTTGGTACAATTCACGAATTTCACGTTCACTGAATTTCTCATTGCCAAGTATTTGAAATTGTAAATGATAATCTTTAAAAATATAGAAAATTATGTTAAGTTATTTGTAAATAGCATACTGCGTAACTACCTTTGAGCCTTCATTGTTATTCAGCTTAGGTTTCTTGATGATTTTCATTAATTTACATTTTTTTTACAAAAACTAAATACAGCTCGTAATTGATATAGAATGTCGACAATATTCACGATAGCTTGATGTTCAAAGAACAATATTTGATCCGGAACATAGTCAAATTAAAAACAGTCAAATTCAAAACATTGCAACGCATTTTCTTTTTCAATACCTATTCTATATAAAATGAAAATCGAATATTTTAAAACATTTACAGGAACATCATTTCTTACCTTGTTATCATTTTGAATGATTTGTCTCCTACTGCATTATATACATTTTAAAGGCACGGTCTCTAACACATATATCTATTTTTCCCATATTCAATTTAAAAATATTGCCAGAGACCTTTACCACAAAAAAAATTATTTTGTATCATTCTTTAAAAGTGTAACACACCTGGGGTTTATTGTTACATTAGAAAGGGTGCTATGTGAATTGGACAGTGTATTTTTGTATTGTATTTATATATATATATATATATTATCTCTCTTCACAGGAGAAAGCACGAGAAGCCGTCATCTGTCTTAGATGCACTTCAGTATTATTGTCAATTAGATTAATTAAGAAATAAATAACAAGGTTAATTTTTTTTTCTGGGAAATGAACTTTGTTGGTCATGTGATCAAATCCTGTAAAACCCGATTTGATCACGTACAACCCAAATTCATTTCCCATTTAAGTTTTTAGCTCACCTGAGCCGTGAAAAATTAATGGCATCATTTAAAAATTTTCTTCTCAAGAACCACTGGGCTTGAAAATATGAAACTTATATGGAAGCATCCTCAGGTAGTGTAGATTCAAGTTTGTTCAAATCATGACCCCCGGGGGTAGGGTGGGGCCACAATGGGCGATCAAAGTTTTACATAGGAATATACAGGAACAATCTTTAAAAATCTTCTTCTCAAGAACAGTAAAGCCATGATTGGTCATATTTATGTGGAAGCATTCTTAGGCAGTGTAGATTCAATTTTGTTCAAATCATGACCCCCGGGGGTAGGGTGGGGCCACGATGGGAGATCAAAGTTTTACATAGGAATATACAGGAAAAATCTTTAAAAATCTTCTTCTCAAGAACAGTAAACCCATGATTGGTTATATGTATATGGAAGCATCTTCAGGTAGTGTAGATTCAAGTTTGTTCAAATCATGACCCCCGGGGGTAGGGTGAGGCCACAATGGGCGATCAAAGTTTTACATAGGAATATACAGGGAAAATCTTTAAAAGTTTTCTTCTCAAGAACAGTAAAGCCATGATTGGTCATATTTATATGGAAGCATCTTAGGTAGTGTAGATTCAAGTTTGTTCAATCATGACCCCCTTAGATAGGGTAGGACGACAATGGGCTATCAAAGTTTTACATAGGAATACATAGGAAAAAATCTTTAAAAAATTTCTTTTCAAAAACAGCAAAGCCACAATTAGTCATATTTAAATGGAAGCACCCTCAGGTAATGTAGATTCAAATTTTGTTCAAATCATGAACCCCCAGGAGAACAGAGGGGCCATAACAGGGGATCATAGTCAAACAAAGGAATACAAATGATATATCAATTAAAATTGTCTTCTTAAGAACAGCAAAGCCATTATTTGTCATATTAATTCAAAAGCATCCCTATGAAGTATAAATTCAAATTAGTTCAAATCAGCACCCTCCACCCCCCACCCCCTCGAACCGCTTTTATATCAAAACTTTTCAAGACTGAACTGCTTTCTGCTTTTTCCTAGCCAGAGTGCTCAGGTAAGCGATGTGGCCCCTGGGCCTCTTGTTAACCTTGTTATTTAAGATGAATATTCGAATAGAAATATTACACAAACGGCCCGCCGTATCACTATGTTGTGACACGCAGTGACCTAGAACTGAAGTTATTAAGTCATGAAAGTTGGCCTAGCTCCAACATTTGAATGTTTCGCAATCAAGTTCACGAAATCTCTGTCTATAATGATAGAACAATGATCTGTATTGAAAATAATCTTACTGATTTATTGCAGCCCGGAAAACCGGGCTGCTCTATACATATAAGTTTAAGTTTCGTTGCATGGGATTGAGGTGGGAGATTTTATTCCGAATTAAAGGTTTTTGTTTGTTTGTTGTTTAACGTCCTTCTCGAGAATTTTTCACTCATATGGAGTCGTCATCACTTGCCGGTGGAGAGCTGCAATTTTTTTTACCTCTACTCGGCACTTAGGGCCTTTGAGCAGTGAGGGATCTTTTTCGTGCTAGCACCTACTGCGACACGGGACCTCGGTATATACGGGCTCATCCGAAGGACCGGTCTCCACGCCCAATAGAGGGATTCGAACCCGCGACGTAAGGATCGAATCCTTAGTATGCGACTCTATAGCAGACGCTCTAACCACTGCGCCACGCGGGCGACAATTAACTATACATTAAAAAGATTATACATCAGAATATTCTTTTCCTTTATAAATTACGAGATACATAATATATTTCCTTCCATAAAGTAAATCTTTAAAAATATATATGTTTTAATATGTAATATACAGAGTTGCTTATCATTTAAAATTGACAAAACGACAGGTCCTTTTTTTTCAGAACATTAAATTTTACAAATGGCATAAAAACGTACGTTACACAGTTTGTGTTTAATATTCATTAAGTCAAAAATATTTTGGATGATAGGTGATATATGTGTCTGATTCTAATTTATATTTTATGCAGCCTACAGTTACTTGAGGAAATGATAATGTTTAAAACGGTATTGTTTTTGTTCGATTTTCGCCTTTTATCACTCAAGATTTTACATCATTTATTTCCCCGGCGACAATTCATGGCAACATCAATGTTTTCTTGTGAGTTCTTTATATATGTTGAGTCAAAAACGGTGGTATCGTCTTTTTTCAGTTGAAATACTTTCAAAGGAATTTCGGGTTAAAAACGTAAGCGCGATCTTAATTATTCAAACCATTCCCCACACCGATTGATTGATTAATTGATTGTATGTTGTTTTACGTCTCATTCCATAATTTTTCACTCATATAGAGACGTCACCATATAACAGTGAAGGGCTTCAAATTTAGACCTTTACTCGGCACTCATGGCCATTGAGCAGTGAGGGATCTTTATCCTGCCAACGCCTGTCGCGACACGGGCCCTCGGTTTTTTAGGTTTCATCCGAATGACCCACAACTTTCACTTCAATGTGCCGAGCTCTTGGCGAAGGAACAGTTGCTACCTATTTTTTATCGACTTAGGTCAGTCGCGGCCGGGGCTTGAACCCACAACCTTCCGATCACGGAGCGAGCGCTCTGCCGAATGAGCTACCCTGACGGATTTCTCACACCGAAAGAAGATCTAACGGACATCTGTTTATTGAAAAAAATATCTATATGTTTTATTTAATTTTATTGTCTTTGTCATCGCTATCAAGCTGGAAGTTTCGAAACCAATTTCACTGTGACAGAAATATGCATACAAGATATCATCTCGATGTGTGATTCGGCCACGCTATGACCTCTGACCTCCTAATAAGTTCATACAGAATTTAACATACTTTCTCTTCAATAGGTTCATCTAAGAAAAATATTTGCAAATGTAATATTGTGATATGGATCAATTATCTCTGTGGTATATTTCTTCTACAGGAGACAGGATGTTAAACACGGGGAGATCTGACAAAAATCTGTCTGGGATGTATTTCACTACCCAAGACAGGGATAACGACGGAAATGGTGGAGCTAACTGTGCTGTTAATTGGGGAGGAGGCTGGTGGTTCAACTACTGTCACGAAGCCAATCTCAATGGTCCGTGGTACCCGGCAGTCTGGCGCAAAGCGTGGTCTCCTACACTTCAGGACGGGTCATCTGTGAGAAAGACGATGATGCTGATCAAACGTCACTAGGTAAACAACATTAAATCTAAATATCCAGTATTTACTATTCGGTATTTTATTGAACATTTTAAATGGTTATATGAAAGTTTATGAGAAAAAAATACGCTTTTATTTTATTTTTTTTTAAAAATTATTTCAGTTTTGTAATTCTTTTTCTTTTATTTTGAACAGATGAATATTTAAAGAACAAGAAAGCACAAGTAGATGGCCACCCATCAATCAGACAAAACATATCTAACAAAAGAATTTTTTTCAATTTATCCTGACCATGGTATTCTATTCATCCTTTTTTTAAAATAATGTTTTACATCAAGTGAGAAAACTTGTAAACAATTTTGTTTTGAGGAGGTTTTGTGGTTAAACTATTTTCTGAAGCAATAAATTATTGTTCTTTTTCTATACTGAGTGTACCGAGTAAAAGCTGTGCATTGTATGTGTTGTAATAAATTGAAATTTACAAATATTTCGTTCTTATTTCCAAACACTGCCACATGAAGATGTCTGGACGGATAATTAGGATGATGATTACTCTATAATCAAACTTGTTACACCTGTACAGTCTGTTTCACTGTGAACTCCGACATTGAATTTAATTCTCCTTTCTACTAATTTCTATGATCTTTACACTGAAACATATGGAGATAACGTACAGTATTTAAGCTGAAAACCCCATTCAAACAATATACACCAGGAACAGAGCAAATACGGATCTCTTAAACATCAGAGGTGGGATCAGGTGCCATGGAGCAATCCTACATCATGTTTATTACAACACAAAATATGTCTCCCTGTGCATTTTCGATAAGACAGGTTTTATTGTATTGAATGTATTTTATAACATAAGCAGGTGCATTTCATGTTCATTTTTTGTAGCACAATATATCCAAGATTGTGTTTCTCTATAGAGAGATACCCCATTTCGTGCCTTCCGTGCAGTATTTTGAAAGGACGGGCAAATATAATTCATTACTTAACAATAAAAGCTTTGATTAATGCTCTTGTTCCATTGTAATGTTATTGAAAAAATGAAGCTTAGAATTTAACGTCACTGGTACTTCAAATTTCCTGCCCTGTGACTTCTACCACACTTTTTTTATCATCTTTTAAAAGTGTAACACACCTGGGGTTTATTGTTACATTAGAAAGGGTGCTATATGAATTATATTACTACAATCTCTCTCTCTCTCTCTCTCTCTCTCTCTCTACATGATAATGAACAGTTATCAATCTCAAATGACAATTTATATGTCAATAGCTAGCATAATTTTAGAAAAGAAAGTTGACTGTAAAATGTTGAAGTCATCCCTTTGGGAGTTCTCAGTCACAAGACATCACAATAGGATTTCCAAGTCCCTACACATCACAACAAAAGTTCTCAGTCCCCAGACATCACTCATTACAACAGGATTTCCCAGTCCTCACACATTATAACAGGTTTTCCTAGTCCCCACACATCACAACTGGTGTTCTGAGTTTCATATTTAGGAGCGAATTTTTCGTCTTTTTAGTGTCAAATGAGTAGGATGTATATTAGAAACACTATTGGCAGCCTAAATAGCTTATTTGGTCTAAAATACTTTATATCCTAACTTTGTGCTTAAGTCATTATAAACTGTAGAAAAAAAAAGTTAGGTCTATAATGGCAAGGTGAAGACAACGAACAGTGATCTCTCTCAAAAAAACTAAAAACAATAAAAATTTGTAAGCAAGACATAAAACACGGACCCCTGGAAATTCCAGGGGCGAAATCAGGCCCCGGTATAATGAAACAGATTTAGACTTAATTCAACATTTTCTATAAAATGTTAATTACTTGTGAACTGAAACTCTTAACCTGCATATAACAGTTATCAATGGATGCAAAATTAAAAAGTATTTTAATTTTGTACTGATTGATTTCTAAATCACGTCAGCACAATATAAATTTTTGACTTAAGCTTAAGATGTTTCATGATCCTGGGGCCAGGAGACTAGGAGCAGTAAGTCTCATCTGTTGACAAGTCAATCCGCCGTGATACCTATGTATAGATCAGGTAGACGGAATATTCTGTAGTCAAACTCAGTATAAATACAAAGGCAAAAACAATTGGCATGAAACGCGTTGGCCAAATACGACCCTATGATAGGTTATATTTGCTAACAAGGTCATTATAAGGATCATAAAAATACGAAATGCTGACTTTAAACGAGGAGCTTGGAATCCTTGTAACATAAACTTATATGTCAGATACCTGTCTCGGTTTAAAAAATGATCGTAGTCGGAGCATACTTTTCAGTATCAAATAAGCTTGGAGACGAAACACCGTATGCAGGTGATAACGAAATTATACTACATGAAATATGGAGATAACGAACAATATTTAAGCTTAAAGTCCATTAAAATAGAAAGTTGGAGATGTAAAGCTGAAGTCATCTCGTTTATCATAAAAGAGCCAGGTACGTTAGCTAATGTCAACAGGCCCTGCAAAATACATAAAAAATTGTGTTTGTGTATCCCAACTATCCATGTACATTTATAAAGTTTAAAGTCTTCGTATATGTAATTATTTGGGCGGATCCAAGCTTAGTGTGCTGTTATGTAGTATCCAAACCTATGCCGTATCCGGAAAACAAGCAATTTTCTTCACTTTTCACTCGGTTTTTGGGAAAATTCGATGTGGCCGCAAGCATCGACCACAAAAATATTTTAACTAGAAATACTTTAACATAAAAGGGGTTGATTTATACAGGTTTTGTTCTGGTCGTGGGCTGCGGCCACAGTAAATTTTGTAAAATTCTGATACTATCAGTCGTCTGCTTTACGGATCTTGACATGAGGGGAATGGAATTAGCTGGGTGTTATAATAATATTCTGAGAAAATGAACAACAATAGGATGCATGCTTACTTTGTAGAGAATCTAAATGATATAAAGAATTAATTTAATCATTCAGTTGTTCAAAATTCGTTGTCGCGACCACCTTTTTTACTTTCATTTTCATTCCAGGCAACGACAATCCGGAACAAGCAAATCACACTTACATGTACAATGTAAACATAATATTATAACGTCTAAATCTTAGAAAGTGTGTTGTAAAAGGGTATATTTGGGAACACTTCTAGTATACCGGTCCCTATAAATATGGCGCTAAAATAGGTGCCGCCGAAGGCGGTGTACAATATAATACGATCGCGTGAGCGATCGACAAAATCGATAAAAAAAGGCCACAAATCGCAAAATTGAGCCAAAAATCGTGTTCCTTGTGAAAAATTGAGTTTAAAAAACTGGTTTTTAAACACAGTTTTTTAAATGAGAATTAAAAGGTTTCGTAAAATAACGTACTTGTTTAGTAGATAAAACTCCATTTTGCGTTGTTTAGGAATGTGGCCACATGATCAGTTTTTGACGTAATCTCATAAATATTCATGACGTGCGTCACTTGTGTTTTGACGTAATGAAGACTGATGAAGAACTATAGCTGATAGGACTCAAAGTGAAATGCTACTAAAATTGCAAGATTTTTTGTGAGAAATGCAGGGATTTAACAAGTGATAACTAATTACTAGTAATTGGTTGATTGAATTGTACATCACCATTGATTTGAAAGAAAAATATTCTGAATATGGACATTAGGAGGTTAGGATATCGAGCTTAAGTAAACGGTAAGTCGCTTTTACCAATTACTTGCCAAAACTTAGCGCACAATATCGGGCATGTTTCAACATTAGACCAAGGCTAATTCATCCAAGTTTGGCAAAACTTTCCTGTTCTTCTGGTTCTTTGTAAGCAGAAATTGCATGTGATGAATAAGCCCAAAGTGATATAGATGCGAGCATGGGTGAATATAAAACAGTTACAATATCCGAGCTATATATACACCAACCCTAATCCGTAGATCGCATACAATGCCATATTTGATTAACGGTTTGTTTAAGTTTTTCATGTTTCATGCTTTACTCCTATAAGATGGTATATCGGCACGGTTCGACATTAGGCTGATTCATGCAAGTTTTTGGTCACAAAAGGCACTTGGCAGTGCCTTTTGTAAGCAAAAATTACATGAATTAGCCCAAAGTCAGGAAGATTTAAGAGTGGATCTATAAAACCGTTCCAATCTTAAAACAATATACCCTAACCCTAATCACTCGATCGAATGCGTTTTGTTGAAGCGAGGGGAAAATGGCGGTTTGTTTACATTCTGCATAGCAACGGCAAGGGAAATAACTGCTCATGCGCAATCGCGTGATTCTGGGGACCGGCATACTAGAAACTTCCCTATATTTGAAATGGTATTGTGGTTGATGATTTTTATAAAGACATCTTATGTGGATTTTAAGGCAAAAACCTAACGTCTCTAGGTTGTATAGCTAACTCTAAATATAGACGTCGTCATTGTTTACATTAACAACGCACAGTGACGTGCCAAAAGTTTTCTCCATATTTTGGTATTTCGTTTGATATTTCACTATAAACAATACCGTTGTTTAATCAAACATTTATAAATAAATTTATTAAGAAATTTCATAGTAAAAGAAAACAGCGCTCATATGTTATATATCTCAAATTTACATCTGTAAAAATACATGTACTGGAAAGTTTACATTAATCAATGCAAAGGTGATTTTTTAAAATATTTTAGCACTAACCACCCTTTCTCCGAAAGCTTTATTTGTACATGAATATACCTAGTATATTTTGATTTAAGTTGGAAATGAAAATCCTTCAATGAATTAAATTCATATACAACTTATACATCTGTTAGAAATCCTTTTATTATGATTTTTTGTCTTTTCAAAAAAAAAAAAAAAACAATTGAAGTGATACTTAGTTGAGAACAGTAGAGTATATAAATATAAGCTATATATATGTTCCCAAAAACAATGAAAAAATTGAGGGTAAATTGAAGGAGAAAGAGTAAGGGGGAATTAAATTTACCTATAAAGTTTTCCTTCAGAAAATTTAAGATGAGAATAAATAAATGACTAAAATGATACCCATTATAATGAATTTCTGAATGCGACAACTTCATG